AAAATCTTTTTTGGCTATGGTCTAATCTAAACTTGCCAAAGGTCAACAGTAATCTTTCTATCATCACCATCATCAATATAAAAAGGTTTTAGAAAAAATTAATAATATGAGAAAATATTCTTGATGTCATGCCCCATAAAAATCAGCATATGATCCTCAGTACGTGGTCCTATTCCATTTATGGAAAAATATTTCTACATATACATAGGAAAAGACTCAGAAATACATAGAAGTATTGGCTGTGGGCATCTCAGTCTTAGGCAATCTCCAATTGCTTCTTTACAGTACTGTATTTTTAAAATTTCTACAGCAAATAGACATTACAGTAGTTTTATTTCAAAATGAAAAATTTCCACTGTAGGATCTAAATAGTTGAAGCTCTCATTCTGAAGTTAACTTCCTTCGGTAGCAGAGGACCCTGGAGTCAGGTTCCCAAGTTCATCCGAATGATGTTCTTTTGGAACTGGAGAGAAATAGATAGTCACGTGGCGTTGCCCTGCGATGCTGCAAGGGGAACTTACTGAGCCACGGGGCATTCAGAAGCCGCTTTCTGCTCCCCTCTCCTCCTTCTCTGGAGTTCTTGCCCCAGCAGTGAAGCGTCTACTGCAGATACCCTTGAAGGGTGGGGAGCAATTATGCACCATGGATTCAAATGTTTCAGAAATGCCATGTTATCTGTGGGAAGGTGTCGCCTTGATAGTTCCAAGATGGGGTGGACCCTGAAGTGCTGTTTCAAAGCTGGTTTCACAGGAATTGGGAGAAAGGTCGTGCGACCTCAGCGTGGGCTCAGCGGGGTGCCCACAGCTCCCAGTGCCAGCAGGCTGTCAGCTGACAGACAACTGGTCATGGAACTGCTAAGGCAGAGAGAGAGTCGGCCGGGGCTCTCTCAGTCACACCTTCTCTTGGGGCCGCGTGGTTGGGAAAGTCAATGCACAAATTTTAGGACAAGGCGTAGCATTTAGATGGGCAGAAATTCCTTTACGAAGTCCCTTAACAAAAATGTTCTATGAACAGAAGCCACACTGACTCTGTTTTCTTATGTCCTATATCTGGCTGGTTAAATTTCCTGGCCATATTTTTGGTATTACAGATTAATTCCAGTTTTTATTGCTATTTGGATCTTAACACCAATTCCCTGAAAACGCCTTCTTCCCTCCCTCGTCCTTCCTGAGAAATAATATCAGACTGAGATTTCCTAGATCAACATGCTACGTCCAGTCGTGCCAGTAACTGGCTGTGTGACCTTAAGCAAATCACATTAACCTTGCAAGACCTTAGCTCTCTCATCTGTCCGGAGGTTGGACCGGTATACCCCTAAGGTGCATTCTGGCTCTGAACGGCTACGAATCGGTCATCCTATAAGCTGTACTGCTTTCCTGCTTGATTCTTCTTTTTTTCTCTCTCTCACAAACAGGAGCGGCTTCCGCTGCGGGTCTCCTCTACCTGCGCACGTGGGCAGCGGCTGCGTCTGGCTGTGTGCTCGCTGTCTTCACCGCGTCCGTGTGGCCTCAAGTGCTCGGGCAACTTATCAGCTGTGGGACAAGCCCTGGGAAGACCATGACCACCGCCATGATATTTTACCTTCTGGAAATGTTTTTCTGTGCATGGTGCACAGCTTTTAAATTTGTCCCAGGAGGTGTCTACGCTCGAGAAAGATCTGATGTGCTTTTGGGTGAGTACATTTGTTCATTTCTTCATTTGAAAGGTC